TTTTTTAATTTTGGGGCAGTTGAGATCATTGAGGTTCTAGCACAGCTGCCCCAGCTACCCAGGCCTCTAGTAGCCACTCACACACTTACTACTTAGCAGTTCCAGATGCCAAGATGTGCTGTTTCTTTTCTTAGAATTGAAAGCAATCCAGAAAGTGCATCGATAAAGAAATATTTCCAGTTTTATCTGGAGTCATAATCTTCTCTCTCTGTGCCCTTCTCTCCTGACTGCAACTTTGGTGATTCCCAGGAAATAAAACGACGTGACTCTCTCTGCAGCCAGCAAGAGCAAGTACAACAGTGACTAAATATCACATGGTGTCAGTGGCATGGAGGAAAGAATAACAGTGCTTTTTATAGCACCACCCAGAGTGAAACTAGAACCAGGGTCACAGTGCTGGCAAAATCAGCCCTAAACACAGGCTGGGAGGAGCTGACCCTAGTTTGGATGGTGCTTTCCAGCTAACTTTCAAAAAGAGAAGGAGGGCATTCTACATGCACTGGGCACAATTCTCAACAACGTCAAGGCCAAACTGCATTGCCTAAGTGGTGTAAAACCTAGTAGAACTAGGTCCCTGAATATGCGCAGAGTAAGAGCATCACAGATTGAGCAGAATACTTTGTGCATCCTCATCCTATACACACATGGCCAACAGTCTAATGACATTCAGGGGACGCAGCTAGGGAGATGAGTGGGTACCATGCTCACTCTGTGCTCCAGCTCCGCTTGGCTACTGGAATGGCACACACAGCACCATTGCACCCACTGTAAATTGAAGAAGCCCCAGTTGCTCTAGAAATACCAGCAAAGGCTCACCTGATATGGCCACACATGCACACCCTTCAACTGTCCTTTGCGGACTATGAGCCAAATGAACTTCGCCTGCCTGGAGCCAAGTATCTAGCAAGTTTTGCTCAGGCATATATGTGAATGCAAGCTATCCAGCTGTGCAGAATCAAACCTGATCATATACTAGTGATGCTCAGCCACGTACTGAGAGATCCTTTTAAAGGTGCTGTGGGTGCCACACAATTTTAGCACTGTTAAGTGTGCAAACACCTGCACGTGACTCACAAGATAATCCCAGAGATTTCAAACAAGAATCCATAGTATTACAAACTTTCTGACCTGCTCCAGTCTGAGTTCTCTGCAACAGAAGAATTGCTCTGTTATATTTCCATAGTCCAAAAATGAGTGAAAGCTCAGAGCTGGCATTTTCTCAGGTGGGCCTGAAGTCTAAAACCATTGAGAACCACTCTTGTACATGACTTTTTATTTTGTTAATGGCCAACAGATAAGCCATGAAGAGCAACTAGAGCTGAATCTCTTGTGCTCTGCACAAGAACTCACTTCAGCTCCTGTCAGCAGCAATCGACTGCTGGCGTGGTCATTTTCCTCTTTTGCGGGTTTATCTTCCAGCTCTGCTCCCAGACACCGAGAGCAGGGGTGGGACCAGAACTTGGACAAACAGAAAGTTCAAGTTGGTTTCAGCTGCCCCTTGCCTTGCTGACCTGAGCCTTAGTCACAATCAGAGGACAAGGAATTTAGTGCTATGGGGGAACTGCAGTGATAGTTAAACATCAGCAATACAGACCAAATATACTTTCCAGATATGTCCTTGACCAGCTTCCTCTATGGAAACCACAGCCCGACCTCTGCATACCTGAGATCCCTTGCACACACAGACAGGACTTTGATCCTAGGCGCAGAAGAGTTTCAGGGGCTCCTGGTGTCTCTCACATTCTCTCTCCTCCTGGTGCTCCCATTTCTGCCTGGGATCTCAGCCATCTGGGCATTTCTATCACTCTCACCACCTCTCTGCTTGGCCTGATGTTTCTCCGCTGGGCAATTTCTCTACACCAAAGGCAGGAGCAGGCTGTAGCTGATTTCTCCCAGCACTGGGCAATGCAAACTTGGTACAAATTGTGCCCACAGTTGGACAGGCACCAGGTCTCTGAAATAATCCAGAAACATAAAGCAAAAACACTTCAATGGGTGAAACTTAGTAAAGGACCACAGATCCTTGAAGGGAATATGACAAAGCAGGTTTCTCTTCCTGATGTCCCAAAAAAAGCAGGCAGGCTGGCAGCAGCAAAGGCTTGTAAATTATTTCCCTTCCAGGACCTGTCTCCTGTTATTTGCTGAGCCTGAATGAGTCAGATGTGTGCTATCGTCAGAGCCTGCAGCGAGGCCTGTAACCCTTCAGAGCCTGCATCCTTTTTCACCATCTGATCAAACTGGGATTCGGTCTCTTGGACAGCTCCTGATTCTGGGTAGGAGCAGCCTGTACTCGGTGCTGCACAAACGCAGCGGCAAAGAAACTCCCTTTGCACAAGAACGCCCTTCAGCGCCTGCCAGCACCAATCAACTGCTGGCGTGGTTATTTTCCTCCTTTGCCTTTGATAAGCTTGGAGTCTGTGAAAGTTGTGTTTCTTATTCATTGCCAGGAAGACTCAAAAGGATTTCACAGAGGAGTCATAGCTGGAAAACTCCTCTGGGCAGCCCATAGCTGGTATGGAGCCACTCACCCAAAGGTGGCCTTGGGACTGACTTGACATCATCATCATCATCATTATTACTATTGCTGCTGCTATTAATTTATTGGCACTGTTTGCAAACCCATTGATTTCCACACTCCATAATTGTTGCTGTTCCTTACTTGTCTTTTTTTTTGACTGAGCAGCTGCTACTTCTGCTCTATGACAAGGTACTGTAACTGGAAATGTTAAAACTGGAGAACAGCCAGTAAGAGTGTACAATGAATTTTGTTCCATTTTCTCTGGTGAAAAAAAAACATACTACCCTGCCTTCTGACTGACTTCAGACTAACACAGCTAACTACCTCTGTCCGCTTCTGGCCAGAAGCTATTAAGTGTATTCATAGACCAGATAGGTATTATTATTTAGCACAAACAGCAGAGATCAATAGTTTTAAATCTGGAGGTCACAGATAACCATTCATGCTGAAAAAGTTCATGCCCAAACCATGTCTATAAAACTGGGCCTCTCAAGGCTGGTTTAAACCACAGAGGCAGTACAGTATGTCTCTGTCCAAATGGCTCTGAAAATGCCGCACCCACAGATGCTGCAAACACAGGGCAGGATTTACTACACCTGCAGCCTAGTGAAGCCCTCAAAGGAGTTAGATCTACCCAGACACTGACCTGCCAAGTGTCTGGATCTTCAGGGATCTTAGGCAGGAGATCAGCACCTAATCCCTCAGGCTGACACCATTTTTCACATACACAGAGAAGTGCAAATGCAGGAAGCTAAGAAACATTGTGATCAACAAGGGAGCTGCCTAGCAAACTAAAAGGTGCCCTCAGGATTAGGCAGCTGTTGGTCAGGATTATTTTTGTTTATTAATTGTAATTTTGGACATAGGAGCTTGAAGTCCTGTTTTAGGCACCTATGTCCCTTTTAGATTCTGGTTTGCAGAGGACTTTTTTAAAGTTCCTCATTTGAAATTAATGGGAATTGGGGCACACTTAGGTAGTTCTCAGAAAATCTCACTAGGTACCAACTGTACCTTTATGCCTCTGAATACCTCTGCAAACCTGTTTCTTAGTTCCCCTGCATTATGACAATATTTCCTTGATTATGATGATATTTCCTTGATTGAAAGTTGAGCTATAGCACCACTCTAAAGTTTGCATCATAATACTGAACTATACTAGGATTAGCATCTAAGGTGGTATTATTCCATTTCCTGCTAAATATGCCATCATTATAAAACTAATTAAAAGTTCATGCATTTTAGTCCAGACTAACTCCTAATGAATAATTACCCCTCTTTATATAGTTCATATGAATTTGGACCCATCTGAGTTCCCCTTTCCAAAAAAAAAAGAAAAAAGTTTTCAATATAGTAAAAAAAACCAAAAAGGATTTAAAAAGTGTTTAGTTCAAAACACATTAAGAGCTGTAAGATTCCTGAGTTTCAACATTTGCCTCTTTGTAATAAAGCTTTGTTTTGTGTAGAGCTACATAGACAGCCCAGGAAGGAAGGAACCAGGTTGTACAGGCACGTTGCTTTGAAGTATAGCTGCTTTTAACCCACACCATGTAACCCTGGGCAGGCTTCAACAGGAAGCATGTGAACTTAGTGAACCTGAGGTTTGTCACAGCTGTGAGTTTGACCTGCTTTTTCATTTTCCTGTGTTCTTCTGCAGCATCTCACGTATAAATTCAACTCCTCATATATAAATACCAACAGCATATTCAGCCTGAAGTCTCTCTCATGGGTGGTCTCTTGCAAGGAAAAATGTTTCTGATCCCCCCAGCACTGCATACAACAGGTTCAGTGTACACTGCAGTGCAGTGCAGTCCAGGGGCTGTGAGCATGTCCAAGCAGAGGGAGTCAGAAGCCTGGCTCTAGACTAGAGGCCCTTCGGCAAGGCCAGGTTCCCAGTAGGGGGGCTCATGTGGCTACTTTCATTTCTCATCTTTGTGTCATCTTCAACAAAAGTGTGTTTCCCTTGCTGGTTAGTACTGATTAACTAAACGGGATTGAGTCATCACTCCAGCCTCTGCTATGAAATGTAATCATTCGGGTACTGAGAACCATGAAAAATTCCCCCAGTCAAAAATCTATGCTCAACTTGGAGCACCACCAGCAGCAACAAAAGCAAGGATAATGATTGTAGTAACAGTCATCTTCATCTCTCCATCAATTGTCCTTTAGAGAAAATTGATTTCAGAAATGAAGTGGGCTGTAAAAAATGAGCATGTAGTTAAAGCTGTACTGTTTTAAAGCCTCTGGAATAAAATATAAAGCATGCTTCAAAAGCAGTGGAAAAGAGGAAAGTTCATGTTTAATTGGTAGGAAAATACTCCCTGTTTTTCTGTAGGCATGGGAGCTACAGATCTGTCTACCCAGTCTGCAAGGGATGATTAAAGGGAGAAACTTCACACAATACACACATGCATACACAAACAGACAACACGCAGAATATCCATATACAATCTAGTTAAAATCCATCTCTTCAAGGTTATCAGAGTTTGCTATATCACGCTACTAGATCCTAATCAAAAAAGAAACCAAGACAAGTTTAAAAATACCAAAGAGCTCAGAGATGAATGTTGGATTATTTTCTGGTTTTTTAAATATTTTCTTGATTTTTAAAAAATTGTTCTCTAACGTTCCCCCCACATCCATTTTCCTTTTTCCCCGGTAACCTTCCCCCCACAAAAAAGAAGAATGTCCACATGTTCAGTGTTTTTAACCCTTTTCTCCCACCCCTTCTTCTGCAATGTTAATTTTACAAAATTTCTCCAACTTCAGAAAAGTAGTGGCGGAGATTAATTTTGCCAGCTTGAAGGAGGTGGGAAGGAAATTTTGAAAAACCACCAATCTCAGAGTTCATGCATTTGTTCATCATTTTTATTCAGTGTTTCAAAAAAAAGAAAAGAAAAGGGTCACTGGAAAGAAGAGGAAAACACTGTAGATAATACGTTCTTGATGAAAAACCTAAAATTAAAAAAATATATATATAAAGGTTAAAAGCTTTCATGAAAGGTTAAAGGACCATTTTTCATTGGAAAAAATAGACTCCAATGCAAAATGCTGACTTGTTCAAGTAGGAATCCTACAAGGCCAAATTCTCATCATCCTCACATTTAAACTAGATCTTCACTAAGCCACGGCTGATCTGGGTGGTGGCACTGTTTCAGAAAACCATCTGTGATGATGAATGTGTTAACCAGGACTCCATCATCACCCACCAGCCCACTTCCCAGTGACCCCACCTTTCAGCAGGGTGGCTATACTATACAGGCATATCCTTTTCCACTGAAAGGTCCTGATCCAGGAATTAACTTGCTTTGGTGAAGCATGGAGCCACATAGTGAGCCAGGAGCAGCAAAGAAGCCTGTAGGGAGACTGCAGGCTGAGCAGATTATGACTGAGGGACACTACAGCCAAGTTCAGGTCTGTGCACAACTCATGGGGTAGCAGCAGGAGCTGGGGCGAGCTCTGCAGCCACAGGGTAGAGCAAGGAAGGGCTGGAAGGGCATGTGGTCAGGGTACAGAGCCAGAGGCTGATTAAAGCCCTCATAGAGATGGGAGCTTGTAGCAGGCTACTGCAGCCATGTTATCTGTTGTGCAAAGGGGCCCCAGCTTTGAAGAACAGCATTGCATTGATGGAAGATGGGGGTGGGATGGGCAATTCATTGTAAATGGTCCTTTTATCTTTCCCATTTCTCATGCCAGGAATGTCAGAAAGAGTACAATTCCCCATTGCAGATTTTATTGTCAGACACCCTGAGCCATTGGTTCTCAATCCTTTTGGACCCAAGACCCCCCTCGGTAGACTCGAGGCACCCCCTAGAAAATTCCTGTTCTTAGTTTTCACTCATTTTTCAAATCCACAAAAATAATAGAACTTTTTTTCTATTGCAAAAAGAACTCCAAAAGGCCACAACAGTTCTGAATGCTTTTGACACTGGATTCCTGTTTGAAATCTCTGAGATTATTTTGTGACTTTTTTTTTAATGAAATTTTTTGTGTTCCAAGACAAATCAGCCAAATTAAGTCCAAATCCGTGAGTCAGTCTACAACCATAAATGGCCCTACAACCAGCCAACCAGCAAACATCCTCCATCCCATCCCATGGGAGAATGGAGTCTGGGGGGCACCAGATCACCAACCGGGGAGGTGGGTCCCCCAGCAGCCGATCGCCAAGCCCAAAATCACCAGCAGCAAAACTCAAATTGTGCTTCCACCAGCACTTCCGGTTTCACAGCTAGCATTTCCAGGGGGTGCACACGCAAAAGTTGAACAGGAAACAGATGGGGGCCACCAGAATATGATTAACAATGATTCATGACTAGAACAGGAGCTAGAATGGTAGAGTGCATGAATCATTGGCCAGGCCTATATTAGAAAAAAAAAAAAGTCCTGAAACTTTGTTTAGCTCATTCGAAAAGGCTGCACATCTCTTGGAGATCCCAAGGGCTCAGTCAAGCATTGTAGCTCAGGCAGTGAATTGAGACGAGCCCAGCAAAGGCCATTTTTTGCTGTACGTTGAGCATATTTCTAAACACAGGGAAGCTGCTTGTATTATAGGTAGCTGTGGCTATGGGGAACCCAGCTGAAAATCTCCCAGATGAAGCAATGTTGTTCTAGTTGTCAGGAGTATGTCACAGACCATTGCAAGAGTGCTCATGTGGCTTAGGTAATGAAGTCCCACTGACTCACTTTTCAAATGGGAATTGCAACTTGTGCCCTGCGCAGAGACAACTAACGTTCCCAACACCCAACAGGCTGTAGTGCTCATGCACAAGTATTTCCAGCTCAGAATGTGAGGTTATTCAGACTGGGAAACACCCATTTGTCACTGAAGGGTGAACAGAAAAGTGAAACCAACTGTGTCATTCTCTTTGCAGGCAGCCATGGCTGCAGAAGATCCCATAGAAAGCCTCCAAAGAGAAGCATCTTGTTCCATCTGTCTGGATTATTTCAGTGACCCGGTGTCCATCGATTGTGGGCACAATTTCTGCCGAGACTGCATTACCCGCTGCTCAGGGAAATCAGAAAGAAAATTCTCCTGCCCTCAATGCAGAGGAACTGCCCAGAAGAGAATGATCAGGCCCAACAGGGAGCTGGCAAATGTTGCAGAAATTGCCAAGCGGCTCAGGTTACAGGGAGGAAAATCAGCAGGAGTGGAAATGATGTGTGAGAAGCACCAGGAGGCTCTGAAACTCTTCTGTCAGGAGGACCAAACCCCCATCTGTCTGATCTGCAGGGAGTCCAGGATTCACCGATCTCACGCTGTGGCCCCCATAGAGGAAGCTGCCCAGGAATACAAGGTAAGAAATCTCTGTCTAGTGCCAGAGTTGGTACTATTTTTTTTTTAATACTTTAACTGTTATTTTCTTCTTGATTCCATAGGACAAAGATTCAGGCTTCCCCTCCTGTACCTCATCCCTTAGAGGGAAACTCCATCCAGTTCTTCCTGTACCAAGACCAATCACTTGTGTTCAGCTAATCTAGAAAGATATCCAGGTTGTAGCTGTATTGGTCTAGAGGAAAAGGCAATCAGGACTCATAGTAGAGATGTTGTCCCCAACGGACAGTGTGAGTTCGTGCCCGGTGCGCTATTGGCAATGAACACACAGGGGTGGAGGATCCAACTTAATCTTTATTGTTTCAAGTCTGCGCAGAGAGGGGTGCTTGGCGATCGTTCGCAAAACAAGCACACCGGTTTCTACCTTTGGGTACCTTTTATACATATGTTTGCAAGTGTATCGCTCAGTGATTGGTTACAAGCCACTGACATAAGACATTCTCTACTGAGCATGTCTCTATACCTATGTTTTAGCCATGTAATTCATTTACATACATATATGTTTCATTAACATACTTTTGCTCTGCCCAGGGGTGTGATTTTTAGCATTATAATGAGACCTTTTTCTGAACTTCTTGCTATCTTACAGGTGTCAGGGAGACATTATCCTGCTGGTGTTAGGGAGGCATTCCAGGAATCCTCCGCATCCCACACGCTGTGCTCTGCAAGCATCTCTTAACACACACATACCACACCCCTCCCAGCATCTGCAAGTTGCCTTAAGTATTTAGTTAGATATAGTTTGCAAAAGCTAGATATACCATAAAAAAGATTACATAAAAAGATTACATCAGAGATGATATCTTTTATTAGCCCAACAAGATTTTTGCAAAGAAATCTCTTTTAATTAAAAGCTTTCAGGCTTTTTGACTGCCCAGAGGAGTTTTCCATCTATTGTCTCCTCTGTGAAATCCTATGAAACATGAACTTTCATTTCTACCCAGGAGAACTTTTACAATCTTTTCTCCAATGCCTGATGAAGGGTGTTTGTTACCCAAAGCTTGCAATTAAAGAAATGTTTTTGCAAAAATCTTGTTGGTCTAATAAAAGATATTATCTCTGCTATGAGTTCTGATTGCTAATCTAGAAAGGCATCCAGCTTCAGCATGAGGACATGGCGAATACACCATTTCCTTTGGTAATTTGTACTCAGGCTATTTACTGTTTAATATTTTGTTTCTTATTTCTAATTTGAATTTATCAAGATTTCTCTTCCAGCTATTCATTTATGTTATGCCTTTCTGTGATTTCAGAGTCCTTTACATGCTATAAACTCTGCAAAGGTATATCCACACTGATACCTTTCAAGTCTTTTTAAAAATAAGCCCAACTAGTGGATCTCCACCATTTTTAGACTCAGGTCACCCCTCGGAAAATACCAGCACTTAGCTTTCACTCAGTTTTTGACTGCAGAAAAATAGAGTAATTTTTCTGTTGCAAAGAACCCAGAAAGACCACAACAGGTAGGAGTGTTGTTGACATTGTGGATTCATATTTGAAATGTCTGGGTTTAGCACTGTTAGGTATGCAAACATCTACATGTGATTCACAAATTAATGTTGCACAACATCCTGTGGCACTCTTAAAACGATTTCCCAGCACTCCAGGGTGTCATGCCACCCTGGTTGAGAATCACTAAGCTAAACACATCAGAAGCCTTAAATCTCTCCCTGTAAGGCATTTTTTTTCCAGACCAAAACTATTTTTGTGGTCTTTTTCTATAATCTGTCCAATATTTCAATAAATTCTTTTAAAATGTGGGCATCAGAATTGAATTAAAAAATCTTTCAGGATTTGAGTATCAGTTTCACCAATATCATATTTAGAGGTAAAATTGCTTTTTCACCTCTACTTACTACTCTGCTTTTTATGTATCCCAAGATCGTATTGTGTCTGGTTGGTACTGCATCACATTCAAGGCTTATATTCCGTTGTCCCGGCCGCTGTAGACAGCCTAATGGAGAAGACTGTTGTTCAGAAAGAACTTCATCCAAACAGAAACTAACAGAAACATCTGCAAGAGAGGACCTGGCAATAACAGAGGACTGGAAAGCACCTCTTTATTCCCATGTGATACAACTACATCAGCCTGTTTCTCTTCAAAGGAAATACTTGTTGAATACTTTGGCCTGTTCTGGATCCTGATTCACAGCATAATCAAATGCCCATAAGCATAATCAAATGCCCATAATCATAGGCCCATAAGCTTTTTCTTTTTCTAATATCCTCAAAAAAAAATTTCTGATTTTTCTTTCATCCCATCTGTGACATTTTCCCCTGATATGTACAGTTTCCCCTATCAATTTTCCACACTTCATTCCTGACAATTTATATTTATTGCTAGCTACTTTTCAGAGATTTACAGAAAAAACAATTATGCCTTCCCCACCACATACTTTTAAATCTTATTCAGACCATTTTTCTATGCCCAGGAACAAATCCAGATCCAACTACAGATTCTGAAGGAAAAGAGACTAAAGCTGTTGGGATTAAAAGCTACCAGAGAGATGAAAAGCCAGCATTATCTGGTAAGTGCCTACTTTTATTGACCAGCAGAGACTTGGGGGTAGGTTTCAATACTGTTAGGTCAGTGTCATTCTTTGGCCAAAAGAATGAATAATAATGGACTGGATTCTAGAACAGCACCTAATGCAGCACTATTGGGAAGACTAAATCAAACCGCTATGAGCCAGACTGCCCCAGAGCTCAACACAGAAATGTCCCACTAACATCTACCCCACCACAGTGGCATGAATTGAAGCAGCTTCTCACCAAATCCACAATCAGTGACCACACGCTAAGGATGAAAACTGGGACAGAGTAAGCAGTAGCTGGGACAGATACTGTCTACTCCCATGCCCTGAATATGAGAAAGCAGGAGACAGATATTTCCTCAGAAGTTTGGGGATCCATAATAGGCATTTCATCAAAACATCCTAAAGCTTGTTTATCTAACTAGGACAGAGGAAAGAGTCAGCAGAGATGCCACTGTACTACCTAAAACTTGCCACCAGTTCAGGAATTGAAGGAATGCTGAAGAGAGCCAAGGGATGAAATGCCAAACGCAAGTGGAACCCAACCTCCTGCTTACACAAAGCTTTGCTAAAACATTGGCCAGTGTAGGCCTGATTAGTGAACCTGACTGATGCATAATTTTTTTACATAAGCAAAACCTGAACCGTGAGTCAGATGGGCACTCTTGGCAGGAGATGACTGTATAAGATGTAGAATAGTTCAGTACAAAGATGATAAGGCTGGAATGGGAACACCCAGATCGGTATGTGGAACATGCCCATGGCACAGAGAGGCTCAAAATATTCAAGATATTGGTGGTATGTAATATGTAATTTTGATCACTATATGAAAGGAGAATTAGAAAGTATGGGAACTTCGTATTGGCCTAGGGGAGCCTGCTTTGTGTTGTGCTAATACCTTGTTATAGGCATACATGCTTTAACACCTTGTCTATCAGATCACAGGTGTGTTGGGGCCACACCTTGTAGAGAATAGACCTGCTCCAGGCTTTCCCACCTAATGGAGCCTGTGGTCATTCCTTAAGACAAGATTGGTGTTGGCATCTCCTGGCTGTGACTGCTTGGCAGCACAGCAGTCTCAGATCTCAACACTGACACCACCCCAATAACACCCAATGAGGACAGTGACAATGAGAACATCAAAGAGATACTTTGGGAGTATTACTGAAGTATGGGTAAATGTGACTTTTATTATGGACAATCTGGAAGTACTTGTAGAATTGGTCCACCAAAAACATCTCATTCAACTAAACTTAATTAAAATGGACTTTCTAAGGGTTTTGGAGAAATCCTCCCTGCTGCAGATAGAGCTCAGTAAAAAGGTCCTTGCCTTCCCATGTCTCTGACCTGTCCTTTCTCTTTCCATCCACTCACTACAGGAACAGACAAAAACGGTTAGAAGGAAGATTGCATCCGAATTTCAGAGACTGCACCAGTTTCTGCAGCAACAAGAACAGCTCCTGCTGGCCCAGCTAGGAGAGCTGGAGAAGGAGGTGGTGAAGACACAGATTGAAAATGTCACCATACTCTCTAAGGAGATCTCCTATCTCAGTGATCTGATCAGTGAGATGGAGGGGAAGTACCAGCAGCCAGTGGATGAATTCCTGCAGGTGAGAGCTGTGAAGTACTTTGGAGATGGATCCTGGGAACCTTAGCATATATAAAGTTATTGGCATGTGAAAAAGTTACTACAAAGTAAAGGAGGAAAGGCTCTGTACAATGAATCTGCCACTCAGCAATGTCTGCCCGTGTGCCGGCTTTTACCCTGTAGTAAATGAAAACAATATCATGGCAGCTTATACGTCTGCTGTTGAGGGCTAAGCTAAGGCAACTTAGTTTTCATTTATTGAGGATAGAAGCATGTACATGGACAGTTACCATGGAGCAGATAACCTGCCCTTCTTTAACCTTGAGATAACATGCTTACGTGCTCATCATGACTAATGCTCAACTCATATTATCATTGTTTTCTAATCACTTTCTATTAATATTGATTATAATGCAGTTAAATTAACTTACTTTTTTCACATTTGGTCAGAGGACCTAGGATCCTAGAAGACGGCCCATTATGTGACCTGTAAATTTAGCATCAAGTGTTATAAAACTGATTCATGATCTCTCTCTGTTTTGGTAGAATTCAACTGACCCAAGTTTCTTATTGTGACTTTGGTGGCTCTCACCACTGTTGGAGGACCTGAGGGTCTGGTAAAGATAAGAACACAGGATGAGAATAGGTCAGCTGGACCACTGAATCCAGTCTCCTGCATTTGCAGGCAACCACTTACCCAAGGAACCCCCCAAATCGCTACTTTGAATCATCACACATGGCTACAAGGCACAATGCACAAAACAGCAAGAACATCCTATAGCAGGCCATAGGGAAAAGCAGGGAAGAAAAGGGCACTGTTCATGTCCTGCCACTGCAGTGACAGAAAAGCAGGTCATTAATATATGCTGAGAAAGTCCTATGATCCAATCAGTCAATTTTGTTTGTAACAATTACATGCAAGTTGGTGAAGGGACTTTGATGTGAGGCACACAGATGACATGACATGACTGTGGCAAGGTGAGGTCTGGAGAAGCAGAGTCAGGAATGAATCCCAATCATGGCTTGTTTATATCATGGAGTTCGAAAAGCCATACCTGTAGAATAGGGGTGGGCAATTATTTGGACTGGAGGGTTACTTAGGGGAGTTTTGCTGAGAATCCCCACAGCCCGCAACAGCTCACAAAAGCTCCCTAAGTGGCATATTCTTAGACTGGTCCGGGGGTACTGGACTGAACAAGTGGGTGGGTAGGAGGGGTTTCCATGGAGATTGGCCCAGGATCCCCGTAGTCAGGATGTGCTTGGCCAGGCAAATGGGATAGGGCCATGGGTGGGTGGGGAGCAACATCCAGGAGCAGGATGGGTGCCTGGGATCTCAGGGCAGTGATGGTGCAGGTCCAGGGCCTGAGCCCAGGGCAGAACCATGATCCACTCCCCACATGGCCCCACACTGTCACCACCCTGCAGTCCCAGCCAGTGCCATAGCAAACGGGGATGGGTGAAGCAAAAGGGGTGCCAACAGGCGCTGCCCAGTCAGGTCGGGGTGCAGGACGCAGCCACGAGTGGCTCATTTGGGGGACACAGGGACGAGGGAAGGGCAGCTCCCACCACTGCGTGCACTCTGGGCAAGCATGAGGGGGATGTGCTCCCCCAACCCCGCGATCTGTGCATGGGCAGGCTGCCGCTTCAGGCTTTGCTGTGGGTGCCAAACTTCCGGGCCCCCTAC